ACACTCTCCTCACCTCTACCTGACACATGACACTGTCCATACACACCTGGCTGCTGCAGTGACTGCTGAGGTTTGTGTCTGTTCCCTCACTGGGCTCTATTAGCTCTGGTTCTCCAGCACAGGCTGGTGGACTTGTGATTACTCAGAATTTATGTGTTACCTGGCAGCAGCTGGTTCGCCTGACAGCACTCAGCTTAATTTCCAGTAACACAGAACTGGGCTCATTTCAAGCTATACTGTTACCTAACAAATGGAAATTAAGCCACAGGTTGGCTTTTCCCTTATTTGTGTAAAACAAAACACGCCAGCGTTCCTTTTCCTCCTTTGTCTGGAGGCTATAACACCTCATCCCCTTTCACTCAAAGCCCTTGGTAGCCATTAATTGCTCCTCAATTTAGCTGCTACCACAAGGGTTAGGTCATGCTCAACCTACTTGCAGCCAAAGCAAGGGATAGAGACGTGCACCACCCATTCAGGCAGAGCAGGTAACGCTGTGCAGGGCAGCCTCCCCCTCCTCTTATCCCAGAAAAGGCAGCAAGCAACAGGAATTCAAAGGCAGATCTCTTTATGGCTTTGCAAAGCCCTGGCCCAATTATTTTCTTTGTGCTCTCCACATATTTTACAGGAGATGATCCCATACGTTAAAATGCTTGGAGGGCCTATAAAATAAAGCAGTTATTGTTGCAGCAAGCCATGTTCTCCACCTCTGGGCATGCCAAGAACAGGGAAGCAATCCTAGTTCCAGAACACTGAAAATTTTGCTATATGTTGCTAAATATCATGCTTAAAGATTTTGTCTGGTACGAAATAACATAAAATTTGGCAATCTTATACCAGGCACCCTGGCTCACAGCAGAACAGACATAGCAGAGTATATGCACAGGCAGATTTTCCTCACAATGGCTACAGTGCTGCCAGTGCATTCCTGGAATGTAGAAATACATGGAAGCCACTGTCAGCAGTGAAGAGAAGCATGCTGTGCCTAATGCACCAGAAAAGCTATTCAAAAACTCATCCTTACATAAAAATAACTCCAAGGAGGCCGTGTCAGCTCAGCTTTGTGGCTTCACAGGTATCTGTTTGCTGTGCCTGGCACACCTGGCCTCACCCTGCACTCCTGGGTACAAACCCAGGGGTTCCAAGTGAGAGGTTTCAGTTCATCCCCTCATTTGCCCATTCATTTGACTCTTCGGGCTCACAGATTCCACAGCCAGTGCAGAACTGAAATAATTTTGATACAAATTGTATGAGAGAACATTGTTTGCTCTCCAGAGAATCACACCTGATGTGTGGTGGGACATGCACTTCTTCACCCAGGTATAATGAGCTCTCTGCTGTAAACAGCAGGTTTAAAACCCTAAATATCTGAAAGTTCCTTTTTAACATTGGTTGGAAAAGTACAAAACAAACAAACAAAACCCAGCAACCCTGAATCTCCTTTGTTACAGGTGTTAAATGCCTCAAATCCTATGATACAATCAAGGCAGCTGGCTATTCCCAGTTTTCAGAAGTGGTGTTGGAACAGTGGGTTTGAGTTCAACAAGGTGAGGCCATAATGCAAACAGCTATTTCAGCCTCAATAATGCTTCACAATGATGCTCTCAATAATGATTTGCAGGAATATTCTCCTGATGGGACAGAGAGCCTGTAATCACATGCTGCATCACTGCTGGCCCTGTCTGGAAAAGCAGCTGCCATAATTCTGTTGATGTTTCTGATGTAACCCAACAGCTCTTAAAAAACAGTTGTAGCTCCCAGAAATTCTTCATGTTACACCACAAAATTATACTGAGTTCCAAGAACAGAATATTAATTTCATATCTTCTAAGCCTTCAAAAAAAAAAATCAACGTTTAGAAAAACAGCCTATGGACAGCACTGCAGGCCAGGCTGGGGAGGGTTTGGAGTAACTTGGTTTAATGGAAGGTGTCCCAGCCCATGGTAGGGGGTTTGGGATGAGATGGTTTTTAAAGTCCATTCCAACCCAAATCATTCTGGGATTCTGTGACTATTCCTGCTCCTTAAGACCCATCAAATGAACATGCCTCTCTTGCAGATAACAAGCTGGTCATCACAAGGGAAGTCAAGGAGTAAGGAAACATTACCCTTCCCTCTGAATTTTCTGTGTTCATTCAGTTGTGCCATGATTTTCATCTCTGGTATCTATCACTTTTTAATCCCTATAAAAATGATTACAGGAATACTTATTTCAAGACAGTACTGTGATGCTGAAAGGGCAAAGGCTTTTTGTCTTGACAACCCATTTACCTCACACTCTAGCAGAGTCCCATGTGTAGAAACTCTCCTAGAACAGACATCTCCAATCAATAATTATTTCATAAATATTGTTTGTTCATCTCTCTCAGATATTTCACCCTGACAGTTCAGTTCTGTGATAAGCCCCATAAAATTCCAGTGTAAAATGCTCCAAGCTCTTTCAGTAGCACAAACTCTGCAATGAATTCAATGGCCTCTCCCAGTAAATGCCTCAAAAGAGAATCCCTAAACATAGTTTTCTTGGCAATAGGAGGTATCAGGAGCCAGGTTTGAGCTGTGCAAAGCACAGATGTTGGTGGAGGTGCTTTGTCTGGGCTTAGGCACTAAACACCATCGTCAGTCTTCCATGAATAAAAGGTCAGTCCTGAGAGAATTTCATCCTTCAGCATGCTGTCAATGAACCAAGGAACACAAACCCTTTCTGTTCTGCCCACGTTCTATGCAAAACCACTCCAGGAAAGTTTGCCAGCTCCACAGCATCATCCAGCCTAAACTCGGTCCTGCAGGAACAGCCTGTGGGCTCAGCCACCTCTGGGATCTCTGGAAGATGCTAGTTTTACTACCCACAAACCTCATATTTGACAGTGAAATCACAGACAGAGTTTTCAGATAGCAAAACAATAGGAGTAAAACGTGTTTCAAATGCTGCATTTATTCTCCTGCATTTAGTCTGGCCTTGCACCTGGAACCAAGAGTCACACAGCTGTGGAGTCATGAAGATTCCAGCCTTCAGGAACTATCATGGAGCACTTCTCCAACTTCCAACAGAGACTTGCTCCTCCTAAATCACTGCTTATTCCCCTGCCTCGTTTTCTAAGTTTTTTTCACTGAAATGCATCAACATTTAGAGATCACACCACCAAGAACCTCCTGCCAACATGAACTGCCCCAAATCAAGGACGGTCTTGGACAAATCATTTCCAAATCCTCGTAGCCAAAAATACCCCACTGCCTGCATCAGTATTTGAGCAGCTACCTAGACTCCATTTTCCAGAAAATGCCAGGTTTCCAACAGAGCAGATTTTAAATAGTAAGCCTTTGGTTACTGTTGCCTTAAAATAAAGCTCCTAAAATATGTTTTACAAGCATTTTTTCTGCTCTCCACTGACACCTGGAAGTGCTTGGGACTGAAGGAATATGCAAACTACACATCTGATGCAGAAATCCTTATTTTCAGGCAATTTTAAGAAGCTTATTTTTTAGCTTTACAAGTTACATAAAAATACTACCCAGAGAACAAAAACTAATAATACTGAATTCTGTGAAGAGGAAAATACAATCCTTGCCCAGATCCTTACATATCTTGTGGAGTAGGAATCTATGGTTAAATTCCATCTAATTGATTAAAAGAAAATCCATGACAGCTCTGATTTTATTTTCATTCCATGATTAAATACACATCATGCCTTCATTAGCAAAAATTACAGATGGGAATAAAACAGATGCCCAAAACACATCCTGCCAGAGTCCTTGAAAATTAAAATTTCCTTGAATTAACTCTACCTGATGCCAAAAATGTCACAGGCTTTTTACTGAGGCTGTTATCAGTAGTGTACTTTGAATCCTTTGTACTACTATGCTAAAAAAATCCTCTGTTTGGATTCCAAGTTACATTTCCTAGCATTCCAGCTGGCTGCTGGGCAGGGGCAGAACACAGGACTACAACAGTTACCCAAATGCTAACGAGCCCTTGGTTTTGGCACTCAGGTTAGAACCCAAGTCTGACAAAATATGCATAGAATTATTCTGGGACTGAATTTTTTCAGCACTGCTGATAAACCATTCTCCCAACTGAATATATTTCATTTTGCAAAAAGATGCAGCCGTAGGATTTCTATCTTAAAGACATAACAGATGGGTCATGGAGGGAGGACTCACCACTGTGCAAAATAATGCCTTGATTGCTGTCCTGGGAAAGGACTGGAAGTATTTATTGACCCTTAAAGATCTCCTGAGCCCTGGGAACGAGGAGAAGTGTGGAAAGTAGGAGAAGCAATTCCCTGATAAGCAAACATGACCTTGCCTGTGAAACAAAACCTGATTGCCTAAGAGGGCCTCCTTGATGTTTGAAAGAACAAGTTTATTGTCACCTGCAAATGTGTTTGTCGAGGCATGAAGAAATCTCATTTTCCTGCCTTTCAAGTAACAGCAATATTCTGAGATTACAAAACAGAAGAAATGAAGGCAACGAAATTGAGCAAAAGGATTGCACACAGAAGTTTAATATATATATATACATATATGTAAAAAAAAGGAACAAGGAATGGATAGTTATGCTTTGAATTCTTTTGGATTTATGCAGTTAAAATCCATCCTGAAAAATTCACTGGAAAACTTCTTGTCACTGTGGCTCTAAAGACATTCCTATATAGCAGGTTAATAATGAAGGAGGCATATGTCACACACCAGAGGCTGCAACATCACACCTTTATGTATTCATGAGGTCAGGGAAAGGAACTGACCAGGCATGAACACACTCAGGAAAGGGAGACTTAAAAACACTCCCTCTGTGGGAAAAGAGCTGAGCTACTTCAGAGCAGACACAATTATGGTCTGAGAACCTTGGAAAACCTGAATTTAAAGTACCAACTGGTCCTTTTTTGAAAGTGCTGTGGATTTTGTATTAATTTCCCTCCTTAACAGCTACCCTTGTGTTCATTAAAGATCCAGCACTTATATTGCAAAAGCTTGTTCCCCACTCCACTGCACAACAGAGAAATGAGATTTTTGCTTTGTAGGATACCTTTACCTCTACAGGTCACTGCTTACCAGCACAGAAACTAAATATCAGATAATCTTTATGTTTCAAACACAAATATCACTCAGTAATATTGTCTCTGTACTTAGCACATTTGACTTCCCACTCACTTACAAACTTGCAGCTTCCCTAAAACAAGTAAGGTTGTAGCAAGGACACAATTTATGGGCAAATTATGCAAAGCTGAAATGTTTCTAGGGCAATGTTTTATAGTCCCTTAGAGCTCCATACATAGTATTTTACTGTGCACTCAAAAAGCATTTATTTACACACGTGTCTGAGGTTTTCTGTCAAGTTTAAAGTTCAGACTTTTCTCATCTAATCTAATTTGTCCAAGATGGATGGCCTCACTTTTTTCCTTTGGAAAACCAATGCTGTTACACTGTTTCCAATTCTTCCTCCAAAGCAAAACTTGGGTGTTGGCAGCTCCTCCAGAATTTCAAATCCTGCCAGACAGAAATTGAAATGCTTTTATTAGAAGGAAGTAGTTTTATTTGCCTCTTGGATAACCCTTTGCAAACCATTCTTTATTCGTCTGGAAAACTTGCAGTTAATCTGGGAGTTTATAGGACTGTATTGTTACACTGCATCACTGCTTTATACAGCTGAAACTCTTCCATGGATAATAAAATTCCTAGCTGGCTGACTTGCACAAATTAACGGCAGAAAAGATGAGAACTTGCCAGTAATTCTGGTTCCCCAGAAGGGATGGTTGTTTCAGATCCACACTGAGTTTCAAGTCTCAGGCATGAGATTCAGGAGCTGACTGGCATGTAAAAAGAAAACCCTCCTAAATGGATCAAAAGGGCAGCGGGGGAAGTGACAGAAAAGGTCACAGACTTGCCAGTTCCCCTAAACATGGGGTAAAAATGTTACCCCAATTTCAGAACAATCAAAGGGTGAACTGGGTCTAGTAATCAAAGATCCAAAAAGTATCAGCTGGCCACACACACTTTCCCAGGGTAATTAGACCAAAATTCCCAACCTCCAAAGTGTCAGGAAACCTGTCCTCCCTTGGCACTGGCAAACACAGGAGATGTAATTCCCGAGGAAAACAGAGGGAAGACAAGTTGGAGCATTTACTGATCACTTCACCTCCTCTAATCCTGATCTGGGAAAGTCAATATGCTAACACACACATTAAAATTCCCTCATCCCTTCCTTCAGCAACCCCACGTTGGCAGAGGACTCTGTTCAGCTGCTTACCTTCTCTGAACTCGTTCAGCAGCTCCTCCTTGGTCCAGTTGCAAGAGGTGATGAGAAAGAAGCCCTCTGGTTTCAGCACCCTGCACAGGGATCCCACGTACAGCTTCCGCTTCCCCACCGCGTCACTGGGGTCGAGGCTTATGGCATCAAAAGTTCCCTTGTCAATGCAAATGTCAAAGCCTGACAGCTCAGCTGAGGGTGCCAGGAAGTCTTCTACCTAAACCAGAAGTCTGCAGCTGTGAGAACAATCTTCTACTTGGCAGCTCCTGAATCTTTAATGCAAAGCAAGACTTTAGGATACAAAGGTTCAATCCTGACAATGGGTGTGCCCAGGGAAGGGTAGCTCACAGTGCCATGGCAGCTTCATTCTTCTCTACACATTGTGTGATGATCTATTTGCTGTAATCTAAAGCTCAAACTAACACACTTGAAGTTCATTCTTTAAATCATTATTTGTACTTTGATCCCTGCCACGTGCTAGGCACTGCACAAATGCAGGAGAACAGACAGAGCCTGCCACTAAGAGATTTTACAGACACACAGGAGCAGAGACATCACACAGGTACAGAGCAGAGGGGTAGAACAGCACAGCAGAGAGCTCAGAATGACAGGCAGCCACAGAATCTCTGTGGCTGAGGCTGGAAGGGTCCTTTGGAAGTCATCTGCACCTACCCCTGCTCCAGCAAGGCCTCTCAGCCTTCCTGCTGTTCAGCTACTGGTAGGGATTCTGTCACTTAAGGATTTCTTCCTCTACCTCAAGTTTGAAATTCACAATGTAGCAGCTAAAATACAGAACTTGCTACTTGGTAAACCACTACTCTGCTGCCTGTTCCAAGCAGGGAAATCTTGTTAGCCCTAATGACTGGTACAAACGAAAAACAAATAACGACCAAAAATCTTCCCATAAACAGATTTATTTGGGTAGAGTTCTCTCACAAATAGATCTCAAAAGACATCATTCATTTAGTACACTGAGTAGATCTGAATATCAATTAGCTTGTTTAATCTTGGGCTCAATTGCTTTCTATTTCCTCAATTGCCTTTCTCTCAAGACTTACCTTTAATTTAATGTTAGGCATCCCTTCTTTCTCTCTTACTTTTTCTGAAAGTTGTATTGCAGATGGTGAATAATCAATCCCTGTGAGATTCATGTAGCCAGACTTTGCCTAGACAGAAGCAGAGAATCTTAATCAGTGTGCTAGCAATTGTTTTTATCCAGCCAGTACATTCCCTACAACCCATCTGATCTCTCCTCCTCTTAATAACAGGGAAAAAACACAACTCACCTTTTATTAATTTTTATACCTGTTACCATTACAAGAGCTCAATAGCTGATTGAGCTGAAATAACTTTATTCTGCCCAAAAAACCTCACCAAAAGAACTGATGACTGAAAGCTGGTTTATGTCAAGTGGAAAACTGAGCACAACTGTGAAAAGTAACACCCTGGAGTGGAACAGGCTCTCTTATCTGCACCAAAAGTAACTTAGAAACCAGGAATTTTCAGTAATGACATGTGACAGATGCTTCAAAATAAGGGAAAAAACCTCTCTGACATGTAACATTGGAGACTGTGCAATTACTTAGCTTATAACCCAAAATTTAAGAGCCAAAAGATGTAATACATTGCTCTAGGACAGAAATCCACTGCAAAATCACACGTTTTTCTAATTATTCATGCTAATATCTATTTGAATACAACTATTTGCATGCTGCCAGGTGTCTGTATCAGCAATTTTCAGGCAGGTTATGCACCACATATAATAGCACACAGAGGCTTTGTTAATCTAAGTTTGTTGGAGATAAGGATAACTCAGGGAACTCAGTGAGATCCCAGCAACCCTTTGGCAAAGCAGGTGGGCTCCTGGCATCAGCTGGAGCTGGGCACGTGGGAGGGGGAGCAGGGACACACGTCCTTGCTCTGAGGTGGAAGCTGAAGGGACCAGCTCAGGGTAGAAGCTCAGGGTATCCCATGTGTCAGGAGGTTTGGCAAGATCCAAACCTGATGGAAGGGCTCTGATCTGCTGGCCAGCTGCAGGCTGTCACAGCAGAGACAGGGAGGAGGCTGGGGTTTGGAAAAACACATGGAGTGGTGTTAAGCATCCAGCTGCCTGTCCACTTGTTCCAGAGGCTGACACCTCAACTGCCAGGAAAACGATGAGGAGTTTCCACAACTGTCCTTCCTCCTTGCAGCAGCCCCCCAGGCCTGAGCTCGGTGCTAACCAGCTGTTCTGAACTGAGGGCTAATTACAGCTGAACACAAAGACGCTGTTGTTTGCATGGGATGGAGAACATTTATTGCTCAGGCTCCTGCCCACGTTCCTCCCCGGAGCAAAGCAGGCTTCCTCAGATGCCTGTGCTGAAGGTTTGGGGGTGGAGGAGTAGTTCCCACAACAGCTCCTCTGTTTGCAAAGGAAAGGCTTGAGTCACTTCAGGGAGTTCCCATTCACTCCTCTAGTCTCGGGGGCAGAGAAGGAAGGTTTGGAGATAAACAACATTAAATGCTGCAGAACCTGTAGGGCCTGACTGCGACAGGAAGGGATCCTTTGCTTGTGCCAAACGTGACCACGCTGCACCCTGCAGCTGGCCTGCTGCCCTGGAGGTGATTTTACTGCTGCTGCTCCTTGAAGAAGCAGATGGAAGAGCAGAAGGAGTTTGGAACATCAGCAGCTCTGCCCTGCATTTAGGGCTGACACCACACTCGGCTGAACACTCTGCACTTGAGATGTTCCTCAATATTGGCAGCTCCCATGTTACTTATAAAAATAAGAGGAGGCCAGAGCTCCCTGTGGCAGAAAGGCTTCCTCAGAAGAGCTGGAATTTTTGGAAGGCAAAAGAATTATGTCACGAATTGAAGCTACCAGATGCCTGAAGTTCACAGGGGTAGGACCACAGCCTACTAAACATATAAAAACAGCAAGGGGTGCCACTTATGTGATATTTATGTACCCTCAAGTAGTCTCCTTGCAGAGAGCTGCTGCTAATGTCCTCTGTGACTGAGATTTTTCCAGTATTGCCATTTTTACCCCATGATGGAGTCCAACTCCAGTGGCAGAACAGTCCTACAGCAGCTGCCAAAAGAATTCCAACTTGATTTCCAAGCCTTGCAGCTAACACACAAAAAAAAATTGCTTTTACATCAACTATGCAAGTGAGATCCTGAATTATTTAGCAAAAATAAACAAGGTAATTTTTAAAGCCACTTTTCAAGAGGGAACTGGACTGAAAATTTCCTGTGAAAGAAACCACAGTACTGTGAGGTGCCTAATGTAAGGGAGAAGGGTGCTCTCACAGGAGTTAATAGTTTTTAAAAGCTATCAGGCTGTCATTTTCCCATAGTATGGATGGAAAATCAGTTTCCTGTTTGAAAGCAAAGTCTCGAAAATTGAAGTCTTACAAATAAGATTTTTCTGTTGGGTACTTCAACCATGATAGAGCTGTCACTGCACTCAACAATCACCATTATCAGGCTAATTTCTCTTAGGCTGATTTCTGCTTCTGGTGACATAAATTTTCCTGTGCTGTGGTGTAGCAGCCAGTCTCCATAAAGGCTTCTAAGTCTTCTAAAATCAAAGTCTATGTTAAAAGAAAAATTCCACCTCAAACCTGACTTTGCCTTTCAGTCCTTGCAATTCCTACAGAAACTAATGGACCCAATGGGGAATGCAAAACAACAGAAGCTGTGGCAATATTACAGCCTCTTTCTTTACCAACTCCCCTGCAGTATTACACCAAAAAAAAATCAATCAAAAATAGGAAAAAAATACTGGAACTCCTGAACATCTTGTGCACAACAAAAACATCATAACAATCCAGAGCATACCTCATCAGATTTCCCACCCTGACAGAAATGGACACTTCCTTAAAAGAAGTGTTAACAACTTTTTAAGTTATTTACATTAAAGCCCTTGGGTCTACCTACTTTTTCAGATCAATAATGAGTGTTATTATGAGAACTGAGTGCAGAGAAAGGGTGTGGTTTTGTACATGAGGGTACTTTGTGAATTAGTCAACTTAATTTCCTTATCTGGGGGAGTTTACACAACAATGGGAAGAAATGCAATTTTAAATGTGGGGAAATTGGAAAGTAAAGTTAAAACAAGGGATTCTCAGCCTGATTAATTTAGAGAAATACTTCAAATTTTGAAGCCTGAAGTATTGACACGTTTTGCGTTTCACACAGGTTACAGTTCCCCATGATTACTGCTGCCACTTGTCAGAACTGTATTTAAACTGCTTTGGTTCTGCATAAAAAACACACAATCTAAGAATACCAACCAATTCAACCAGTAAAACACCGTTCCCAGTCCCAATGTCAAGCACAGAGCTGTCAAAGGGGACCCTGTGCTTTTCCAACCACCTGATTATGCGCACCATGCTTTCTTCTCCAAACCTGGAAAAAACAAGGGTTCAGGTAATTAAACCAGAAAAAAAAGTGCAAAAGGTACAGCAAGTTATTTCATCAATCACTCTCTCCAGCTTTTGCAAAACCCTTTTTCTGTTACTAAAATAAAAGCTGCCATAGCTCATATACCATGTTTGCTTTGTTAAGATGAAAATTAATCCTGCAGCCTTAAAATTCACTGAAACACTGGGAGGTGAAAATATTCATGTATTTAAAAAGGAAGCACCAAGGGCACTTTAGCACTTGTGTAGCTAAACCTGAGCTCAGGGATAAAAAGCAAATTTGTCAGTAACATACACCTCAATTACCAGCTCAATTTCTATGTAATGACTCTTGTCCAAGTGCAGCTGAGCAATCTTCAGTGTGAAACTGGGCAAGGGAGGAACTGCTCGTTTTAATGGTAAAACTCCCCATCATTTTGTCAGCAACTCATCGAATTGCTGGCTGTGGTTTTGCAATGTCTTTTATGGTAAAGAAACAACAGAAACACTCTGCAGCAGTTATTTTATTTACCAGATTTCCCCGGTATCTCCAATGTCTTGAAAAGTTTGCAGTTCTCTTTCGTACGCAGCATCCCAGCTGGAGTCAGGGGGAGGAAAGGAGAGGATATCATAATTAATACTGGGAAATATTTAGATTAAAGAGGGATGGGAAGAAAAATTGAAAGATAGATTTAGGCTAGATATTTGGAAGAAATTGAATGTGAGGGTGGTGAGGCACCAGTCCTCAGCATAAGGAAAACATAAACATGCGGGACAGAGTCCAGGGAAAGTCTGGAAATGCTCCAAGGGCTGGAGCCAGGCTGGGAGAGCGGGGGCTGAATTCACCTGGAGAAAAAGCTCCAGGGAGAACTCAGAGACCCTTCCAGTGTGTAAAGGGCCCCAGGAGAGCTGGAGAGGGACTGGGGACAAGGGATGGAGGGACAGAACACAGGGAATGGCTCCCAGTGCCAGCGGGCAGGGCTGGATGGGATATTGGGAAGGAATTGTTCCCTGGGAGGGTGGTGAGACCCCAGCACATGGTGCTCAGAAAAGCTGTGGTTATCCCTGCAGGTGTCCAAGACCAGGCTGGACACTGGGGCTGGGAGCAGCCTGGGACAGGGGAAGGTGTCCCTGCCATGGCAGGGGTGGAAGTGGATGGGCTTTAAGGTCCCTTCCAACCCAAACCATTCCATGATTCCATGAGAGGCCGAGAAGGCTCTATGCTCTGCGTACCAGTGCCACTTTACAGAATCACAGATTCTCTAAACAAACAAATAATACACAAACCAGAGACCGCTGTGTGCAGAGAGGGGACCTTAAAGACCTTTCATTTCCACTCCCCGCGCCGCGGGCAGCCTCCCCTTCCACAGCGCGGGTGGCTGCGAGCCCCGTCCCTCCCGTGCCCGCCCCCGGCGGGGCACACCCGGTGCCCGGCCCGTGCCCCGGCACTCACTGCTCCCTGGTGCCCAGCACCGAGGGGCTGAAGGGCTCGTCCCCGGCCAGCGCCATGCCCGGCCCGCCCCGGAACCAGCGAGCGCTGCGGGCGGAGCGGCCGCGGCCGCTCCCGGCCGGGAGGACCCGGGCTCGGTGATCCGGCCCTGAGGGGGGCACGGCCCGCTCAGAATCCTGGCGTGTTTTCTGATCTTCTCTAATCTAAAATCCCGTCCTGGGAGTGTCCAAGGCCGGGTTGGATGGGGCGTGCAGCGACCCGGTCTGTGCGAGGTGCCGCTGCCCATGGCAGGGGTTTTAAGTAAATGGTCCTTAAGGTCCCTTCCAATTCAAACCGGGCCGTGATTCCATGAAAATCAGCGCAATATTTAAAAGAACTGTTTATTCTTTTCAATATTTATTCGTTGCAAATGTCACAGACATTATTGCTGTTACAAGTTTTATTGCAAGGTGTTTTAATAAGAAAATAAGAGTGATAAACGACACTGCTGCACAGTTGCCTCCTGTACAGCTCCGTGTGTGAGAACCACGGCATTTCTTCCCAATATCCCATCCATCCCTGTCCTCTGGCAGTGGGAGCCGCTCCCCCTTGTCCTGTCCCTCCATCCCCTGTCCCCAGTCCCTCTCCAGCTCTCCTGGAGCCCCTTCAGGCCCTGGAAGGGGCTCTGAGGTGTCCCTGGAGCTTCTCCAGGTGAGCACCACCAGCTCCCAGCCTGTCCCAGAGCAGAGGGGCTCCATCTCATCACCTTTGTGGCCTCTTCTGGACAGGCTCTGGCACATCAGTATTCCTCACAATGAGACATATTGAGGGGCTGGAGCATGTCCAGGGAAGGGAACGGAGCTGGAAAAGGGCTGGAGAATTCCTGAGGGAGCTGGAAAGGGGCTCAGCCTGGAGCAAAGGAGGCTCAGGGGGAATTTCTGGCTCTGCACAAGTCCCTGGCAGGAGGGGACAACCGAGGGGATTTGGGATCTGCTCCCAGGGAACAGGGACAGGAGGAGAGGGAACGGCCTCAGGCTGGGCCAGGGGAGGCTCAGGGTGGGTATTAGGAGGAATGACTTCATAGAAGAAGTTGTTGAAGGTTGGAAAGGGCTGCCTTTCCAATCAAATGTTTCCACTCCAAGGGTTTGGAGTCCCCATCCCTGGAGGTGTCCCAGGAATCCCTGGATGTGTCACTCAGTGCTCTGGGCTGGGTGACAAGGTGGTAATGAGTCACAGGTTGGGCTCGATGGACTCAGGGGTCTGTTCCGAACTCGATGGTCCAACGCCTCGCTCCCACAGTTTCCCACCCTTCCCATGCGGGTACCCCACTGCCCCCCGGGACTACACTCCCCATGAGGCCCCGCGGCGCCGCCGGAAGCGGGCGTGCGTCCGGCGCGCGTGCGCCGTGGCGGCGGCGGCGGCGGTGTGTCCGTCATGGCGGCGTCCATCTCCGGCTACACCTTCAGCTCGGTGTGCTACTGCAGCGCCAACAGCAGCGCCGACCACGTACGTGCCCCCCGCCGCCACCCCGGGCCCGCGGGGCTCCCTCACGCTGCACCCCGGCCGGCGGTTGCGCTGCGGAGCTTCCAGGCCGCGCCGCCGCCGGTGGGGCCCGGCCGCGGGTCACAGCGGGCGGGGGCGGCCCCAGACGGATACAGCGGGGCGGGATGTGGAGTGTCCAGGCGGGATGTGGGGCGTCCGGCCGGCTCTTCGTGGGATGTGGGGTGTCCGGCGTGTGGGGTGCCCCGGATGCTCCGCGGGGTACCCGAGATATGGGGTGCCCGGTTTGCTCCTTCCCGGCTAGGATGTGGGGTGTCCCGGCTGCTCCCTGCGATGTGGGGTGCCCGAGGTGCTTCTCCCGGTGTGTGAGGTCCCCAGGATGCTCCCCCCGGGGTGTGGGGTCCGCGAGATGCTGTCCTCAGGATGTGGGGTACCAGGGGTGCTCCCCGTGCGTGTCGGGGTTGTTTCCCGGGATGTGGGGTGCTCCCCGCGGGGTGGGGCTCCCGCAGGACGCGGGTGGTAGGAGGAAAACGCTCCCGTAAAAGCTCCATGAGCGGCTTTCCAGCAGCTGCGACTGACCACGGGCACAGTGCAGAGCCGGGGTGTTCCCGAATCCCTCGGTTTTGTTGGCACATTTTTAGCCTGAGCTTGCTCTTTTCCTCTGCACCTTGTGCCAAAACCTCCTGATTCCAGCTCAGTCTCCTTCTTCATTTTGGGTAGGGATGGAGAATAAATTAATTTACCGTAAAATTGCCTTACTTCTAAATTGCCGTCTGGCTTTTGCAGTCCCTGGTGTTGTCCAGGGTCCAGACCAACCTCCACACTAAAATTTGTGTAAATCTCCACAGGTTTAAACTCCTCTTCCCTTGGCTTTGCTGGAGCAGAGCAGCATCCTGCTCAGGACTCCTTCTTTTCCTGCTGGGGCTGGGGCAGAGCCCTCCCTTTTCTGCTGTGTTTGCCTTGTGTGTTGTGTGTAGAATGTTCCTTTTGGAAAACCCATCCCTGCTGTTGTAAAAGGACCCTGGCAAAGCAGAAAATCAGCTTTGGTGAAACATCAGGAAAGTTTGTATCCACTGTAGCTCAGATGTGTGTTTTAAACTTCATCTTTGTTTCAGTTTGAAGCTAAGAAAGTTACAGTAAACAACTGCATATAGTGGATTTTTTTTCCCCTATTTTTAATCTCCTTTTAAAATTGCAGGAAGGATTTCTGCTGGGAGAGGTGAGACAAGAAGAGACTTTTAGCATTAGTGATTCACAGATCAGCAACACTGAATTTCTACAAGTGATAGGTAAGTGATGTAACTTTGAGTTGTTCTGAAATAGGCACTGCTGAGGTTTCAGGTTTTCAGGAAGTTTCATTAAGAATTGCTTCTCATGTGAGACCATCACAGGGTGTGTCAGACTTTCAGGATCACATTTGCCACAGTGTCTGTGTGTTTGTGGTTGAGATGTGAGGGAAGGAGACAAACCTTTGCAAGTTAAAGGGGTTTATGCACCTCCTTTTATGGAGGAAATATTATTTATTGAAGATATTTGTCTGTATTCCATGATGAAAAAATTACTGTGGGGAATTTCCTGCTTGATACAGTTGCCTAAATACAGCATGTGCTCAAAATAAAATTAATTCATTGCTTGATTAACTGATACTGAAAGGGGCAGATTTTCAGTAGCAGGTTTGGATGGATGGCTGGGAGTTGGTGACATCATAAACTGTCACAGCAGGACTGGACAAGGAATATTTGTCAGACAATTTGTTGATAAACACAAGTTCTGTACAGCTGATGCGTTGTGAAAACTGAACAAAGATCAAAAATCTTGCTCTTAAGTGTTGGTCGAAGGAGAATTTTTTAGACTTGAGTGAGAAGGTGTTGAATGTTTGGTTTATAGAAAATAGGAAAGCCCTGAAAGAAACTGCCTTTTTGTTTCTAGATATATAACCAGCTGTTAAAATATATTTAAACCTCCTTAAATACCTGGCTTTGTGAATAAGATCCCAGATAACAAAGCAGGGTGTGCATAAAGCTCAGTGAAAACACAAACAGCTCTGGATTGACTCTCAGATGTTATTCTGACACAAAACAGGTGATCTGTGAACATGTGCAGTGGTACCACGTTACATCCCAAGAGATTTCCCACCTTGCAGTGGTGATGGTTTTGTGCTCTGGACTCCAGAAGGTTGAGTAGTTTCCTGTTCTGGTTATTCCTAAGAGAACACTGGTGGTAAATTGACTATGAAGTGTCAGTAACGAGCTAAATTACAGAAGATAAAGGCATAGCATTTTTTGTGTGTGCATATAATCACTATCAGAGAGTTGCTGATGCCTTTCTGTGTTCAGACAAAACTGACAGAGCCAGTCATTTTTAGGTTTTTAAATTAGACCTTTCTCTTCAATGGTCACTGATCTTGATTATTGTTGGCAGTGATGTCACCACCTGCAGCCTTGGCCTGGTTTCCTAAACCAAGTGTTTGTGGTGTTAAAAATTGCTCCCTTTTTAAATCATCCCTTTGTCACATTGTTGGTTAGAGTGACTTTATGAAAATGGAAAGTACCCACTCTTAAAGACCTCCTGGCTATTTTTTTTATTTGCCATTTTTACTTCAATATTTATTCACCAAAATTAACTCTTGGAGTCCCAGTTCAGTGGTGTTTAAATATATAAGTGTGTGTACATAGTATGTATACTATCTATATACATATATGTAAATAAGTCAATGTATAAACCTTAAATTTAAAATGTTGGCTGCTTCATGGGGTCTGAGCAGGAGGTTTCGTGCTTCCTGTTTTTCAAAACTCAAGGTCTGTGTAGCAATATCATCACCCAAGAATCAAGAATGTTGTTGCAATGTATTTGCTGGAAGGAATTGCTGTAAGCAGGAATAATTGTACTTACAGGCTTTGTTAGCAGATTGTTTCCACAGGTTCCTGCATGATGGTGTGAAAATATTAGAGTTGATACAATTTTATATCAAATAAAGGGAGTCAGTAACTCTACCAGCAGCATCCTGAGGAGTTGTTGCCAGTGGGAATGTGCAGTTCCTCAGGCAGTGTGCCTGGAATGGATGCTCAGGGCCTTGTTTTGATAGACACCAAATGTGCTGGGATGTGGATGTGTGCTGGCTGCTGTTCTTGGGAGCTGTGTTCCATCCTCTGGTGCCTCTGCTGAGATGGCAGCCACAGGAGCAGCAGGTGGTGAATCACTGCAGGGAGGCAGAGCTGGAACAAAGTTACTGCTCAACTCCAGTGGAAATATTTGTGCTGTGTGGTCTCACAATCCCAGGATGGTTTGGATTGAAAGGGACCCTAAACCCCATCTTGTCCCACCTCCTGCCATGGGCAGGAACACATTCCACTAGACCAGGTTGCTCCAAGCCCCTGAAAAAATAAGGATGCTTGGTGTTGGAAAGATAATGTACGATTGGATCTTTACCCTTTTCTCACTCTCCTCCAAGTTTGCTTACATGTTACAACCTTTGCTGATGAAATAAGCATCTTAGCATTTATCACAACCTTTCCAATGAAAAAACACTGCCCTGACTTTTTAATATTTCATATAACAGAATCATAAAGTGCAGCTAAATATTTTGAAATTGC